CGCCCCCTACCTCCCCACCCTCCCGGTCAAGCGCAACCTCTGAGCTGGCCTCCTTCATTTAGGGCTCTGGCGTCTGTAAGGAATGAACCTTGATTTAGGGGCTGCAGCTGGGGAGCAGGCCAATGTGGGGATGCCGGGAATAGACTTCCAGACCCGAGAAACTGCCTACGATGATTGCACGGTTAGGGAAAGGCGAGAGAATCCCTTAAAACATCCTGATCCGACAGCCTGGGGACGGCCAAGGCTGAAAAGGACCTAGGAAAAAGATATCTTGTACGGCACATAGGACCCTTTCTTTTATAATATTGTGACATAAATGAGTTTGCTCTGAAGCCATTTAGGACCCTGTTCTCGCAGTTTGACAACCAGTTTCCTTTCATGGCCAGTCCCTCTTCAATTTATGCTTATTTTAAAGGCATGGTGTATCTTGATTCTTTGAGGCCGGAGATAACGTATCTCCCCAGGTGAATCCGAAACCTCCTTCCGTGGATCCCTGATGTGTAAAGGAAGATTCAAGTTTATACATTCCACTCTTGTATGACCAGGTAGTTCCCACTGGTAGAAAGTAAACCCAAGAATCAGATTTGTGATTTAATGGGCAGTTTCTACCTTCCTCCTCTAACACTCTCGCCAAAGGGAAGGATGTCGTCTCCCCTGAGCAATCCCCACTGTTGCAGGGGCAGTTATAACTGCCTCATCTACTTGAAACAAAGATGACATTATTTGCGACAAATTTTTTAAACTGTTAGGTTAATTGCCAGTAGTCAGTTTTTTCCTCTCTTTGATTTAAATCGTTTTATGCAGTTCCGCTTCAGAAGAGAAACACGACTTTGTTCCTCTGATTTGCTTTCGTTCTTCAGGCTAGGGGCAGGAGGTAAAACCTCCTATGATTCTATCCCTCTCGATTTCAGTGTGCTTTTATTTCCCTTATTTGAGGAAAAGGTTTCTTAGCCTGAGGCCTATTTTTCACGCAGTCTAAAACTTTTTCATGTCAGAGAAAAGGATTTTGTCGTCCCTGTTTCAATAATTACAATTTGTCAAAATTGCTTTTATTTGGATTATCAATCATGATTATCACCATAGACTTTCCTTTCCAGCAACAAGGGAAAAAGAGTTGATGAGCTCAGAGGGTTTAACTGTTTAAACTTATTGTGTGGCTTTAAAGTAAGGCTCTATCATCGTTCCCAGGGATTTTTAGCTCTGAGCAATCAATTCTTTAATATTCAGGCTTCAGAAAAGATTCCGGTGAGAGCGCGCCCTTTTCGGTGTCTTTTATTGTACGGATAGTAAACCTGCGCCATCTGGTGGTAAACCGGTTCACCGCTTCTGAAGAGAAGGGCTCCTTAGATGAGAATCAGCTGCTGCTGTTGACAGTTTCTTCTTGCTGAGATGAAACAAACTACCTTTTACTCCTAGCAGGTGTAGTGAATACCTTGACTCCTGAGCATCTTGGCGGGAAATGCAGCTTTTCTGTTACAGAACACTAACCTACTTAAAATGGTTCTGCTCCGTATCATCAGAGCATTTAAATACCTATGGTCACGTTACATCTGAAAAGAGATATAACATGGAAAAAAGGCATCAGAGAGTTGAACAGAGTTCTCGGCCCTTGGAGGGAGCTAAGTTCAATTTAGCACCACAGTGTGAGTCTAAAACGGAGTTCCCCGAAGCCTGCCCCGACTGCAGATTATGGTGAAATGGAAAGCCCCTTGGCTGAGAATCAAAAGGCGTGAGTCCCATCACCATCACTGTTTTACTGTCCAACTTTTGACAAACCACTAGACAAGGTTGTGCCTTTTCTCATTTGCAGAGCAGCAACTACCCATTGTCTAGAGTAAGCATGAAAAAGTGTTTTGAAATATACTTAATTGCTATTGAGAGTAAATAATAAAAGCATCATTATTAATTTGCAAGGTGAATTCAAAAGCCCCAGTTTTAAGTACCTTTGCTTTACAACCTCCAGGAACACAAAGGACCCACCTAAGAAGAGGGAAAGGAGAGAGGTTTTAACTACACTGGTAGAGATCCTGATTATCAGACAAAAGCATTGGTCATTAATTCAATAAAATTGTTGTTGTTGTTGTTGGGAGGGGATGGTGGAGTTGGAAGCAGTTTTGTCTTTATGTTTATTGGATGTTTATTTTTAGTTTCACGAGTCATGCATCCTTGTTGTAAAGCAGTCTAATAATAAAAATAACACAAAAGTCCCTTTCCAGTCATCTCTTCCTCCATAAAAGTCCCCTTTCCCCAGAGATAACCACTCCTACCACTTTCAAATGCATCTTTCCAGAACTTTCTCTATGTATTTATATGTACACAGTAAAATACGGAGATTGTTTTGTTTGTTTTTGTACTGTTTAGACTGCAAAAGAAAGGAAACCCAAATCAAACTAGTTTAAGCCAAAATCATGGCAGAGAAGGAGAATTTATTGGCTCTTGTCTCCAAAAAGTTTTAATAGGCTGCTTTCAAGTACAGCTGGATATAGAACTCAAACACCAGGATGTCACCAAGAGGAGACTTTGCTCCCTCTCTCTACTCTGCTTCTTGCTACTTAGGCTCCATCCTCAAATTCCATGTGGTGGTCAAATGGCTACAGCAAGCCCCGAGCTCTATATCATTTTCCACTCACGTTTAAGGTGCAGAAAAAGGGCTTCTTTCTCTGAAAGCAAACTTCTTATTGTATCTAATTGGATCTGTCAATTATGTGCCCATCGGTGACTCAATTACCATGGCCAGAGGATTGCAGTCTGACCATCACGGTAGGGCCAATCAGTGCCCATGTCTTGAGCTGTTAGCAGAAGTAAATCATATGGGCTGAGATGGAGGGGGTTTCCCGTAAGAAATCTGGAGTACTCTTTTGCCAGAAGACGGGCAAATAAATACTGGGCAATAAAACCAACAGATTTGAGTTGATGTAAATAACGAGTACAGTAACATGACATAAAAGGCAATTAAAGCATTTCAAGAAGGAGGGACTGGCTAAGAGAATCAAACATATTGTCTAGAGATCAAAGAGAATAAAAAGTTATATGAAATCATTGAATTTGACTATTAGAAAGTCAATGGTGAAGACCTAATATACACCATGGTGACTACAGTTAATAATATATTGTATACTTGAAATCTGCTAATAGAGTAGATCTTAAATGTTCTCACCACAAAAAAGGGAGGTGATGGATATGCTAATTAGTTCGATTGTGGTAATCATTTCTCAATGTATATGTATATCAAAACATCACATTGTACACCTTAAATATATGCAATTTTTATTTGTCAGTCATACTACAATAAAGCTGGTGGGGGGGGAGAACAAAAGCCAATGGTGACTGCTGAGAATCAGAATGTTGTTTTGATGGTATTATGTTCAGAAACCCAGTAATGCCAGAATCCTGCCCTACTGATCATTCCTCTTTTCTGTCCATATAGCAGACAATAACAGCATCAGAATAAATACACTGTTAATAGGTACAAGGGTAAAGTATAGGTCCCATGGCTCAGTTATGAAGTATAATTATAGGCGCTCAGTACTTCCCCCCAAATCTTGCCTTTCTTTGACTTGCTCTGAGGAGGAGGAGGAAAGAGAGAGGCTGAGGGAGGCAGGAACGGAGGGTAAGAAGAAAGGGTGCCCCAATGGACAATGCCCTACTTACATCTGCTTATAACAGGGAGAAAGGGAGCAGGAAACACAAGAAAGCATGGGACGTGGATGATATTTTAACACACATTGACCCTGCCCACTAATAACCATGACCCATCCAGGAGTAGACCCTGTAACACAACATAATACCATCTTCTCCTCCTTTGGGTGGGGAGGATTGCAATGCCTCTTCCCCCTCGGAGACTTTTAAGAGAGCAATTTCAATTAAGAGGAAATTAGTGGAAATAGCAAACATAGGCTGCATTTTCCAGAAGTCTCGTGGTAAATGTAATAAAGGAGAGAATAGCTTAGTTATCAGGATCAAGAGAAAGGGTGGAGGTGTCAGGCATGACTCGAATTTATTCAGATGCTAAGTGAAAAGAAGAAATTGACAATTTAAGAGGCTGAATGATTGATAGAGCAAAGTGCCAAAGAAGACAGGGAGGATAGAAGCAGCATCAGTAGGGGAGAGGCTAACCAAGCCATAGGGAGGAGGAGGGGCACTTCTTCCTCTGAGAAAAAAGGCAAGCACAGAAGAACAGCAGGAAAAAAGAACACGGTACTAACAAGAATAGGGAAAGAGTTCTGTTAAATGGATAACAGTCTGGTGGAGGGAGTGGGAACAGAGCGAACCTAGACACAATAAACATTGTAGGCAGAAAGACCTGAGTTCATATCTTCACTCTGCTACTTACTTGCCTGTGTGACCTTGAGCAACTTACTCATGTTCTCTAAGCTTCAGTTTTCTCTCCGTAAAAGGGGGATAATAATACTGTATCAGTATTTATATGGTTTTAATTCTGAATAATAGAATATCCATACTCAAACTGTCTTATACACTACAGAAATACATTATTGCGTGAATGTCCCAAGGTGGGTAGCATCAGGAACAGTATGATCAATCTTGGGAAAATGGTATCAGAATCTCTCCTTTTCTCCATTCTTCTACTCTTAGTGGGTTAGTTTTGCCCTCCTCTGGCTTCCCCCAAAGTGTGA